ACCATTTTACTAACACAGTGGGGCCTACAGCTTTTAGCTCATAATTGTAGTTTTATGACGAGCATATTTCCCTCCAAAATCTGAGCCCCCATGCCCAGAGTTGTTGCTGAAACTGCCCTGTGGGGGTGGGGGTGAGGGTGGACCCGGGCAGTGAGCGTTTCCTCGCCTCTCCTCCAGGGCTTGGGGACTACTGGACTACAGGCACAAGGCCTGCGCTCACGTCTGCCTCACAGCTGGCTGTAACAGCAGCTTATGTACCCGGGCTGGTCCGAGTCCCGCAGGTATTCACTCACTTCAGCCTCACTCTGACCCCACGAGGCAGTTAGGATCATCACCTCCATTTCTTGGATGAGGAAACCGTGGCAGAGAGGTTGCTAATTTGCCCAAGGTCACACTGCTCGCCCTTTCCTGCACAGCCCTTGAGAGCGCAGGCAGGGGAAGGGTTGAGTCTCACTCCTTCCCAGTCAGAACGCCCTTTCCCACGCTGCCTGCGGCCCAAGCCACTTTGTGGAAGAAGGACAGATTTGAGGGCCCCTTTGCTCCTTGTGGGAGGAGCCCCAGCCTGGACTAGGAAAACTGCCTAGGCCAAGAGAGCTCCGGAGTCCCCTGCCTGACCAGAGCTGGAGGTGGATCTGCTAGGCTCTTAGCTACTTTTGCTGCCCGCAGAACCTCTGCTCATTATTTAAAGCCTGTGTTCACGGGGCCATTGCCGTGGCTCACTTGGTTAATCCTCCACCTGTGGCACTGGCATCCCTTATGGGCACTGGTTCTAGTCCCAGTTGCTCCTCTTCCAGTCCAGCTCTCTGCTGTGGCCCGGAAGGGCACTGGAGGAAGGCCCAAGTGCTTGGGCCTCTGCACCCGCATGGGAGACCAGGAGGAAGCACCTGGCTCCTGGCTTTGGATCGGCGCAGCGCACCGGCCGTAGTGGCCATTTGTGGGGTGAACCAAAGGAAGGAAGACCTTTCTCTCTGTCTCTCCCTCTCACTGTCTGTAACTCTGCCTGTCAAATAAAAATTTCTTAAAAATTAAAAAAAAAAAAAAAGCCTGGGTCCATTGCCTGCTCTTCACAAAGGCTCTCTGGACTCCCCCGGCAGTCATCTGCTTGTCTCTCTGTCCAGTCCCAGCCCATCTTCCAAGTAGAACAATGTCTCATATTGTCTCTGCCACCTAATAATGACTCCACACTAGGAGCAGCCATTGCAGACATCGCTCGCTCCTGAAGCCTCCACCTTCTCCTCCTGCCATGGATGCTATGATGCGCTGCCCCGGGCCAAAGGATCCATGCCCCCAGCTGCCAGGGGAGCTGCCAGTAGGTGGCTCTCAGCCGCCAGCCCCCTTTGGGGACTGAGCTGCCTCGCTCACCATCCTGCTCCCTTCTCAGGGCAGCCTGCCCCCACCACTGACAAGCACGGGGGTCAAAGGCTCGGGCCCCTGGCCCTGCTCGAGACAATCTGGAGGGTCTGCCCAGCTTCGGAGCTCCCAGCTCGACCTCTCCCTCTGCCCCATTCCACTTCCTTCCTTTCCCTTCCACAGGTGCCCATCCCAAGACCAAGCACTCCCCAGTAAATCCTCCCGCTCGCTGCTCTCTGCCCCAGTCTGCCCACAGTACCCTGTCTTCTTTACCCACTGAGCCTCCCAGCCAGTATTTATAGAGAACTTATTATGCATCGGGCCCAGTGGCAAGGGCAGGAGGCGGAATGAGAAGCTAATTGTCCAGTGGGTGATCACGGCTACTATCTCACAGAGGAGACTCCGTCACCCGAGCACCACGAGCGTGCACACCTTCCTGCACCTGTGCCCCTCCTCGCCCCCTTGTTTCCTGCTCTGCATCCGTGCCTCCACCACCATAACCAGCCTGTCCTTGTTTGCCAGGGACTGTCTGGCACTCCACAAAACCCCTCGGTCCCACGTGGGCAAACCGGGACCGTTGATCGTCTTACCTCCCGCCTTTCGATCACTGACATCACACCTCTCGATTACTCTCAGCTGCTCACCCCACACCAGCTCCTGGTCATCACCCACCCCTCAACCCTTGACCCCACCTCCCCTCCAGCTCCCACCTATTTCTCTGCTCCCCTGCCAGCCAGATGCCTTAAAAGAGTTGCTGGCTCCTCACTTCCCACCCTGGCCTGGCTGCTGCTCTGGGCCCGCTCCTAACAAGCCCACTCATGGACCTCTGTGTTGATGAACCATGTGGCCTCTTTTCAGTCTTTCTCATGCTTTACTTCTGTGCTGGGCCAGACCCTGAGGTTTCACCGGGGTCCTGGACTGGATTCAAGGACACTGTACATTGGGCCATTTCTGAAGCAGCTAACGCCACACCTCAGTGCAAGGGATGTGCAGTGAAAGGGTGCCTGCGGGGGACAGATGTGCTTCTGCCCGCCCAGTTCCAGCATCTAGAGTTGGTGGCCTTGGCAATCACATGTAGTGAGATGCTCACACAGGCGCACACAACCTTTCATACCCATAGCCACATCAGTCCAGAAACACCTTCTGCCTTCACACAAGGGAAAAAAAATCTGCAACCAGCCCTCTGGTCTGAGTTCTAGGCCTTAAAATTCTTGTCTTGTTCCAGACAATCTCTCCCTTTCAGCATCTATAGAACAGGGCCCAGGAGTTTCCCATTTGTGTCCACTAAAGCAGGCCAGACCTGACCACCTGACCAAGGCCTCTCAGCGTCCTCTCAGTTGACTCTCTCCCCTGCGAAATTCTCTTCCCTAGGCCTCTGAGATCCAAGGAACAGCTGCCCCTTCGCCAGCGCTCCCTCCTCCTTCAGATCCCAGCTAGCATGCTACTCCCCTAAGCCATGCCCCTGTGTGCTCTCAAAATCGCCCGCGTCTCACACCACTGTTAGTGCCAAGTTGTCTCATTCCTCCTGTAAAATGCAAGCACTGACCACCCCATCCACGGAGCCCTCACAGCTCATATCAGTAAACAGGGGTCTTCGGAAAGCCCATGGAGAAATAGAATTAAAAGATAATGCAGGGGTGGGGGTTGGGGATAGCATTGTAACATAGTGGGTAAAGCATCCCTTATGGGTGCCGATTCAAGTCCCGGCTGCTCCACTTCCAGTCCAGCTCTCTGCTATGGCTCGGGGAAGCCGTGGAAGATGGCCCAAGTAAATAGGCCCCTGCACCCACGTGAGAGACCCAGAGGAGACTCCTGGCTCCTGGCTTCGGATTGGTGCAGCTCCAGCAGTTGTGGCCAATTGGGGAGTGAACCAGCAGATGGAGGACCTCTCTTTCTCTCTCCCTTCCTCCCTCCCTCTCTCTCTCTCTCTGCCTCTCCTTCTCTCTGACTTTCAAATAAATAAATAAATAAATAAATCTTTTAAAGAAAAGATAATGCAAAATCTCATCAACTCTCTGGAGCCCCCTCCTATTTACTGAATGAATGAATTCGAGAACATCTGTTACCATTTCATTGAATGACGTCAAGATGCTCTCCCTACATGATGTCCAACCTTCTTATAAATATCATTTTATTTTATAGCTTTAGAAACTGGGGCTCTCTTTTAAAAAATGGGGAGGGAGTCAGTGCTGTGGCGATGGGGAAAGCCAGCACCTGCAGTGCCAGCATCCCATATAGGCGCAGATTTAAGTCCCAGCTGCTCCACTTCCGATTCAGCTCCCTGCTATGGCCTGGGAAAGTAGTGGAAGATGGCCCAGGTCCTTGGGCCTCTGCACCTGCGTGGGAGACCTGGAAGAAGCTCCAGGCCCAGTTCCTGCCATTGTAGCCATTTGGGGAGTGAACCAGCAAATGGAAGACCTCTCTCTCTCTCTCTCTCTCTCTACCTTTCAAATAAATAAATCTTAAAAAAAAAAAAAAAGGAAGAGGCTGGCACTGTGGCATAGTAGGTTAACCTTCCGCCTGCGGCCCCAGCATCGCATATGGGCACAGGTTCTAGTCCCAGCTCTTCCTCTTCCAGTTCAGCTCTCTGCTGTGGCCTTGGAAAGCAGCAGAAGATGGCCCAAGTTCTTGGGCCTCTGCACCCATGTGGGAGACCAGGAAGAAGCATCTGGCTCCCGGCTCTGGCTCCCGGCTTCGGATCGGCGCAGCTCCGGCTGTTGTGGCCATTTGGGGATTGAACCAGCAGATAGAAGACCTCTCTCTCTGTCCTCTCACTGTCTGTAACTCTACATCTCAAATAAATAAATAAACATACTAAAAATAAAAGAAAGAAAGAAGGAAAGAAAGAAGAAAGGAACTGGGGCTCTAAGGAATTACAAGACTTACCCAAGATTCCCCAGCCAGCCCAAGTGTTCCCTTCCCACCGCCCACAACGGGACACACCTCTGCCCCTTGCTCCAACAGGGCTCACCTCACCCGCATATAATTACCTGCAGCAGCATGGGACCAGGGTTAAGACCTGGCTTATGGCTCCCCACACACTCCACTCCACTCCAAACTTCTGCTAAAATGCACATCCCATAATAAAGAGGGGCCTGTGGAGCCATAAGCACCCTGGGGCAGTGAAGACGACGAGGGTCCGCAGCTCTCTTGTGCCTCTACAGCGATGGTACCTGCGCGGAGTTTTCTTGCTTCATCTCACAAAACCAGCAGCGCTCTTGCGTTGTGCAGAGGGCAGTTAGGCCCACGCTGAATGCACGGGTTTCGGCCAAGTCAAGCAGGTGTTCAATGTGACTGTACTAGCAGGATGGCGGTCTGATGAGGGAACTGTGCCTCCCCCTCGTCCTACCTGTCCCGGTCCTGCTCATACTCAGTGCGGGGACAGAGCAGGTGTATGGAGGTGGCGAGCGGCTGGCTCCTGGCAGCCTTCACCTGCTAATGCGAGTCACAGACGGCCACCCATTCATCTAAGCTGGGGCTTTCCTAGGCGAGTCGGAAGGGCGGCCTGTTTGTCCCATTTTACAGATAAGAACACTGCGTCAGAGACCTGGAGTGGCTGAGGCGCACTCAGCACTAGGTGGTGCTGGACGTCCCGGCGCTCCCGGTCCCAGCGCGAGGTTCAAACTGCGGTGCTGGAGACCAGCCCCGCGCGGCCCCGGGGTGGACGCCGCGCGGCCCGCCGTCGTCCGAAGGGCCACCAGCCAGGAGGCTCCTGACAACTGCCCAAGCCAAGCAGATGGCATCGCGTCAAGGCTGTCCCTGAAGTTCACTCTTGGGACGGTCCCGGGGAGGGAGGAGGCGCCGGACAGCGGCTGAGAATCCTCCCTTGGGTGAGAGGACGCCAACTCAGCCCACGGAAACAGCGTTAAAGTCCTGATGGACGTCTGGTTGACGTAACTGACGATGAGCGCCCAGCGCCAGGGAGCACCGAGACGGTGCTCTGAACTGGTTTCTGCCTGCTGCCAGGCGGGTACGTCCGGCTTTGCCAGAGCCGGCAAGCAGGAGGAGACAGTGCGCGTGCGCACCTCGGGCGCCTTTGTAATTTAGGAAACAGCCAATCAGCGGTCCGGGTGGGAACCAATGGGAGGCGCGGATGGGCTGGTCCGGCTAATTTGAAAGCTCGCGGAGGTTGGCGCGGGCGGAGATCCGGTGTGGGGCGCGCTCTCCGGTGGGAGAGGGCTCCCGTCTGCGCCGTGAGACCCGCGAGCGAGTGTCGACACCGGCGGCGGGGAACCGACGAAAGGTAAGCCCAGCCCCACGGCGCGGCCGTCCCCGCGGGCTCCGGCGCTCAGGTCTGGTGCGCGCGGGCCCCGCGCCTCTCGGCGGGCCCCTGAGCCAGGCCTCTCTTGTGCGGAGGGCGAAGGTGCAGGGCCGAGGGCGAGCTCCGGGTGGTCCCCTCCCCGCCGGGCGGGGAGCTGGGCGCTTCTCCACCCCTCGGTTCCGGAGATCGGGACCCCTGAGCTGGTGCACCGGGGCCTGGCCCGCTCCGGACGTCGGCGCAGTGAGAAGACCCCACCACCACCACCACCACGCCGGAGCCGGAGCCCGGGGAGCCCCGCGCCTGAGCGGCCAGGCCCCTCTCCACACGTGTCAGGGTCGCACGCGCGTGTCAGCGGCTGTAGCTTAGGTCCTGGGCACTCAGGGGAGACTGGCGTGGTTAAAGGAAGGAAGGCGCCCCGGGGATGCTGCTCCGCTTAGCCTTGACCCTCCTTGCCCTGAAGTCACGGGTCTGCGCCGCGGGATTTAGGGAATCCTGTTTATTCTGGCATTCATGGGGGAGATGCTGTATGTCATATAATCCTGATATCGAGGCAAATATTTAGTTTTGAATGAACTCATGCAATCTTTGCAACAGTCTTATGGGGTGCAGGCCGGATAGTAATTAATATTAATTACAATTTACAGACTAGAAAACAGGCACAGAGAAGTTAAGGCTCGGGCGGAGGAAACGTTTTCCTCAGTGTTGCACTGCTTTTCCAGTCTCCCTGTTCTATTTCTTCCCCCGTTGCCCATCCCTGGGAGGCAGCAGGTGGTGGCTCAAATACTCTGGTCCCTGCCACCCATGGGAGCCTCAGTTGGAGTTCAGGCTCCGGGCTTCACCCTGGTCCAGCAGTCAGAAACCAGCAATGTATGAAAAAAGAATGATGATCAAGTTGAGTTTATCCCAGGAATGCAGGAATGATTTAACAGGATCAAATCTATTAGCACAATGTACATGTTTACAAAATAAAAGACAACATGTATCCCATTAGGCACAGAAGTAGAATTCATTGAAATTCAATATACCTTCATGATTTTTTGAAATTTAATTATTTGAGAGACAGAGAGAAATATAAACAGAGTTCTCACCTGTTCGTTCACTCCCAAAGGCTCACAATAGCTGGACTGGGCTGTGCCAAAGCTGGAGCTGTGTGGGTGACAGGAACCCAATTACCTGCGTCATCCCCCTGCCTCCCAGGAACTGTGTTAGTGGGAACCTGGATTCAGAAGGCAGTGCTGAGAACTGAACCTAGGAACTCCGATTTGGAAGGCAGATTTCTGCCCTTCTCTCCTTCCTCCCTCCATCTCTCCATCCTTTCTTTCTCTCTCTTCCTCCCTCCCTCCCTTTCTGCTTTCTTCCTCTCCCACCACCCCCTCCCCTTCCCTGCCTTCCCCTCCCCCCCTTCCTCTCTTTCTTGATTTATGCTCTTGAAAAGCAGAGTAACAGTGAGGGAATGAGACAGAGATCTGGTGCACTGCTCAAATGGCTGGAACAGCCAGGTGTGGGCCAGGCTGAAGCCAGGAGCAAGCAACTCCATTCTGGTCCCCCATGTGAATGGCAGGGGCCTAAGCTTTTGGGCCATCATCTGCTGCCTTCTGAGGTGCATTAGCAGGGAGCTGGACCAGAAATAAAGTGGCCGGGACTCAAAGTGGCACTCTAATATTAGATGCTGGTGTCAGGCCGAGGCTTAACCCTCTGTGGAAGGCCAATTTCTTAGCTGGCGTCTTAACTGGCAGGCCCCTAGAAAAGATTTTAGAAATGCACTCATATTTGTTAACTGGAAAGGGTGATGCATTTCCTTAAGCCAACAAAGTGTAAAGTAATAGGCACGCTCCCTTTAAAATCAGGAGACAAAAATTCTCAGTATCACCACTTCTACTCAATACTGAACTGGAAGTCTTAGCCAGGACTGTAAGACAAGAAAAATAAATTTAAATGATAAGATTAGAAATTAATAAACAAAACCAGCACTAATTACAAACTTGGGGTTGTCTGTTTAAAAAACAAAAGACACAGCTTCTTCCTCTGCAAGATCTGTTGTGGGAAGAACCCGTGGGCACCAACCGCTGCTCTTCCGTGGGTACCAAGGCGAGGGAGTGGAGAGAGGCCAGAGGCCAACTGCAGGGGAGGGCAGCCCCCAGGTAGACCAGCGCCTCCAGTAACAGAACAGGGCAAGTTCCGGCCTTGCCACTTAGCACCTGCTCCATAAGTCCTTTCCTTTGTAGAACAGGAATGTAACTATTATGTCGATATTCCCATCATGAGATTGTCCTGAAAGTTAACACCACCTTCAAAAAAGGCAAGATTTCTCTATTTGAAAGTCAGTTATAGAGAGGGAGATACAAAGAGAGAAAGAGAGATCTTCCATCCACTGGTTCGCTCCCCAAATGGCTACAATGGCCAGGGCTGGGCCAGGCCAAGATCAGGAGCCAGGAGCTTCATCCGGTCTCCCATGTAGATGCAGGGACCCAGGGTCCTGGGCCATCCTCTGATGCTTTCCTAGGCACATTAGCAAGGAGCTGGATCGGAAGTGGAACAGCTGAGACTCGAACCAGCACCCGTGTGGGCTGCCTTTGTTGCAGGCAATGGCTTAACCCACTATACCACAATGCCAGCCCCAAGATTATTAGATTTATTATTAGATTGAAAGATTTATTTATTTGAAAGGCAGAGCTACAGAGAGACAGTTTTCATTTGCTGTTTACTCCCCAAATGGCCTCAAAAGCCAGGACTGGCCCAGACCAAAACCAGGAAGCAGGAATTCCACCTGAGTCTCTCACATGGGTGACAGGGGCCCCAGTACTGTGCCATCCTCTGCTGCTTTCCCAGGTACATTAGCAGGAAGCTGGATCAGAAGTGGAGTAGCCAGGACTCGAACCAGCACTCCAGAATGGGACGCCAGTGTTGGAAGTGCAGTTTAACCTGCTGCACCGCAATGCCAGTCCCTAACGCTCTGGTTAAAGCACTTAGTATTGTCTGCTCGCTCAGTTGAGCTCTCAGCAGTAAATGTTCCCTATAGGGGTCATTATGCTCAGATTTTTAGATGCAGCCTCTGCTTTTCTCTGGCCCTTATTTATTCATAGAACAAATACGGTTTGGTACCTGCTGCTTGCTGTACCAGGTGCCCAGGCACTTGGGGTACTACACAGGCTGTCGGAAGAGCTTAAGGACGAGAAACACAAGTGAATGGAGGGGGCTACAGTGACCCCTGGAAAAGCAGAACATCCATGGGCTGGGCTCCAGACCCTGCCTTCCCCAGCTACCAGTGTCTGTCCCTTCAAGTCCTCAAAAATTCTCTAGGGACTTCAAAGAGCGTGGACTTGTGGGACCTGGCCCTGCACTGTAGCAGAGGAGGCCAGCCCCCAAACAACTGAATTTTGGCTTCCCAGCCCCGGCTCAGCAGCGTACTAGCCTCTGGGTTTTAATGAGCTGCCCTGGGTTAGAAACATGACGTGACTGTGGCTGGCTGAGAACCCTGAAGATCTTATTAAAGAATCATCTCCCTTGTACTTTGGGCTGAAATGCTCTTTCCAACCGAGGATCAAAGCAAACTTGACAAACGTTCTCTCATTAATCTCCCCATCCCCGTGGGGCGAGAGCAGATTGGTAGCTGTTCTCACTGGCTCTCAAAGGGGGAAGCTGATGCGACATTGACATGGTGTGGCTCCGGTAAAGACCTCCTCCCTCCTCAGATGCAGGACCCAGACAGGACCCAGGTGTTTGGGGGGGGGGGGGGCACACCAAGTGTCACCTGCATCCTGGACCCTGTGCCCCTGGCACTCTCTCAGGAAGAAGGAAAACATCTCATTAGGCAAACAGTCTTGGCCTCACTGGCCCTCGGGAGGCAGGGAGGGGAGAACTGTAAAGGTTATGCGCACTCCTCTGCCAGTGCCCTTTTTAATTTCCTGCTTAGAATGTTAGACTGCTCTGTGTCTTCTCCTCAGCCAGCACCCTCCCGTGGGGAGCTATGACTGCCAGGAAGGCAGCCCAAGCAGACCCGGTCCCCTCTGCCTTTACTCCCCCCAGGACGCAGGCCGGGTCGCCGAGGGATGAGAATTGAGGGTGAGACAGGAACTCCGAGTGGTGAAAATTAGCTACAGTCCATATATCTGACAGGGTTTGCAGAGTGCATGGTACTAGTTCCATAAAAGGAATTATAACTCTTATACAAACACAAGGGTCTGTTAGAACAATGCGATCACCACAACATAGCATATAATATCATTAGACAGCAGCAGAGCAGGCTTTGCAGCCAGACTGCCTGGGCAGGCACAGGGCTCCATTACTCACCAGCACTGGGACCTTAGGCAAGTTGCTGAACCCTCTCTGTCTCAATTTCCTCCTTGAAAAATGAGTATAATAATAATAGTATCTATCTTGTGGGATTACAATGGGGATAAAAGGAGCTGGTGTGTGAGGTTCATTGAGCAGTCCCTGCTATAGTAAGTACTTTGCTAATACGTTTACACGGCGATCTGATTGCTGGGCAGGAATGGAATTATACATGTGTAAAGAGTATTGTCGGGCAGGTGCTGCGATGTAGCAGGGTAAGCCGCTCCCTGCTAGCCAGCATCCCAAATGTATGCTAGTTCATGTCCCGGCTGCTCCACTTTTTTTTTTTTTTTTTTTTTTTGACAGGCAGAGTGGATAGTGAGAGAGAGAGACAGAAAGGTCTTCCTTTGCCATTGGTTCACCCTCCATTGGCCGCCACTGCTAGCGTGCTGTGGCCGGTCCACCACGCTGATCCGAAGGCAGGAGCCAGGTGCTTCTCCTGATCTCCCATGGGGTGCAGGGCCCAAGCACTTGGGCCATCCTCCACTGCCTTCCTGGGCCACAGCAGAGAGCTGGCCTGGAAGAGGGGCAACCGGGAAAGAATCTGGCGCCCCGACCGGGACTAGAACCCGGTGTGCTGGCGCTGCTAGGTGGAGGTTTAGCCTATTGAGCCGCGGCGCTGGCCTCTGGCTGCTCCACTTTTGATCCAG